CAGTAAGGAATTTTGCTACCCACATCCGCACAGCCAGCCAAGCATTTCATTCATATCCTTTCTCTTACTTCCACCCAGTCCCACAGCATTCAAAAAATCTTTCAGGCATCCTGAAGAATAAAAGATTTAATTTTACATTAGGGCTCACATTGTGTAAGAACACCTACTTAAGAAGTCAAGTTCTCTGTCTAATTGTTGGAAAGAGCACTTGGGTTCTTGAACTCTACTGAGTTCAAGAGGAATTTACTATAGGAAAGCAGGAACTTCCTCTAGCCTCCCATCAGGTAGAACCTGAAACAGCCTAAGTCAGCTCACCTACAAGGGTATCTTATTCTTTCTTCAATATTCCTTCCTCCCATTCCAGAACTTCACAAACAAAAGGATTTGAGGTACTGGGAGCTTAGCTAATTGGGTCACATTTCATTAATTCTTCAGTTTCACGAACAGTTCTGTGTTGTGAGGTGCCTCAGGGAGACAAATATTTAGTTTCAGATAAGCATTGTTAAAATGAGAAGCATGACTGTAAGCCAAGCTAGTGAATTTTGACCTCCTGCTCTGGGGGATGTGCATGTGAGCCCTGGATGAAGTTGTCCCACCCCAAACCCCTTGTGAAGGGTGGCCCAGGTGTTCTGATTGGGTTTGAGTCCCTGGGGGGTTTCTCCTTTGTTGTGTTTCTAGTGGTCCCTGACCCTGAACTCCACCCTCAAGGGTGGAGACCCTCAAGGGTTCTGTCCTTCAAAACCCATCACCCTGCCTTTGTTCAGAACTCTTTGTCTCTGAATAAGTTTATTCCCACGCTGAATAAATGATTTCATGAACAGAGGCCCATCTCTTTTCTGTTCCATGCTGGTTCTCAGTAACTGTAGCTTCCCTGGACATGATCCTGCAGTTGCTGACTACAACAGTTACAAGTGAAACTTTTGCTTATAACTTTTGCAGACGCGCTGCCAGACAGACCTTCCCTAGATTTTATTAACTTCACTCGTAGAGATTACACTTGCGAAGTTGCAATACTAATTGGTGTTTATTTCATTCTACATGCAATCTAGAAATATGTCATTAAAGGACAGAGGCATTAGCTGTAGATATATGCTGATGTGGCCCATGTTGGAAAAATGATCTTCACAAGCATCCTGTGTAAGTATCACGTTATTAATATACATTAAAGGGTGCAGGCACTTGAGAACCTATGGCACAAATCTTCCTGTATCATTGCTGTATCAATGTGGAATGGAGGCAAGTTTTGTAAAGAGAAACACTTGATGATCTACATCTATTAAAAGGCTTTTACAGGCTTTTAACATTGTCTCACCATGACAACACAGAGGAATGTGGCTAGGTGATACTGCTCTGTGATGAATGCAAAACTGTTTGTTAGGTGTCCTTATGAGCAGCTATTAATGAAACACTGTCAGAAAAGAAGTCAAAGTTCCAGAGTCTAATTTTGATCTGGTTCTATTTATTTTTTTACTTTTGATCAATATATAGAAAATAAATTATACTCATGTAATTTCAGATAAAAGTAAACTAAAAGGTAGCGGAAGTAATCAGGAGGAGGAATTAAAACTCCTCAAGATCTTGCAAATTGAAGAAATAGTCTGGAAAAACAAAAGTAGGTATGCTATTCAACAGAGACCAATGTAAGGGTTTACATTTAAAAATAAAGATATAAATAAACAAATAAAGGATTGGAAACAGTGATGGCAGCTCTTTCAGTTGGACACAAGGGCTGTAATAAATTAGAAAAACATGAATCACCCACAACATGCTATTCTGAAAATGGAAGATATCTCACTGGGATGTAGAAATTTTAACAGAGCTCAAAACCACATAAAATAATGTCTCTTTTGGGGTATTCTGGCAGTACTGCACTTCAACTAAGCGGTGGATCAGCCACCTCAGAAGGTCTAGAGAAAGAGTAAGAACAATTTAAGGGATAAAATATAAATATTCTAGCAAAAGACTGAGACATTTAGAACCATATGGAAGGCACAATGAAAGATGCAGATAAGCTTTTTTTTAAGGTTTTATCTATGCCAGTAGTGAATAAGGTGAGAAATTATGATCTTAAATTCCATAAAGAAGAAAGATTCAGGTTATAATTTAGGAAAATCTTCCTAAGAGCACAGACAATGAAGCAACACAACCAGTTGCCTGGAAAGCTTATGGAGTCTGCTTCTCATCAGAAGAAGATGGTCTAAATTATCTTGACAAGTTATCTTCAAGCCACATTTATCAGTAGTCTATAATTATGTTCTTCCTTAAACAATACATATATACCTGCATGGAAACATACATGAAACAGATAAATAGAACACCTCAAAACTAAAAATAGAAAACTTGGGAAATAAATATATTTTATTTATTTAAATAAGTGTCAAAAGTGACACTATCATCTTTCAACCTTCATCCTTTGAAGTCAAAGCCACCTATAAAAATGGGACCAGGGCATGGCCAAAATCAAGGTATTTTCCAAATATGAAGCTATCTAATTGGCGTATTCACAATATTAAAAACTCTGTAAACTTTTACCTGATTATGACAGTTTGGACTTCACCCAGTAATAAAATTGTAAAAATCCCTCCTTTTTTCTTTCAAGAGAAGAAAAATTAACAGAAATTATCAAATTCAAATATTCAAAAGTTGTACTTATATGCTACAAATTAAGAGTTACTAATTATATAGTAGCTGCCAAACTGCTATGCTCTTGTGATTTTTGTAATGATAGATTTGAGGATCCAACAGGACAGGCTGCATCATATCTGCAAATGAAATACCAATGAACGTACAAAAAAATAGTGTAAGTACACAGAAAATATTTATTTCATTACTTACTTGTTAACTACACACAAAGGTGCATCACAAAGTGGATATTTATAAAATATTGATGAACTTGCTGGTTATAATCCTGTTTTTAACAATCCTAATTTGAGGAAGCTTATTTAACATTTTTTGGGACAGTTTCTGTGTCTTACCCAGTATTTTAAAGTTTAGTTATCAGCTTTCAATTGATATTCAATTTAACTTCTGGCTACTGTTTTGAGAGGTGTTATATCCTGCTTACCTATTTCTAGACAAAAACAATTTATCAATTACAATTCTCCTAGGTCTATTAACAATTTCTGACCTTTAAAATGGAATACTCAGAAATACTTATTGATAATACCTGTGATTCAGGAGACCAGAGTTTCAGTCTTGTTTTTTTAACCTGTTTTGAAGGCATCCATGGACAAACTATTTCATCTGTCTTTGCCAACCAGCCCCCATCATTAAAAACAAGCCATCCTCCTTTATTAAGCACTTCGGGTCTCGTTCAACTCTACTGTACATTGAAGCTTGTCTAAGACATTGCAACTATTCCCTGGTGATCAGGTAGGCAGCTAAAATAGTACCCTTCAAGGCCACAATTTTTTTTTCTCTTTAGAAGATAAGAAGGGTGATTTCAATCTGAGGCCTAATTATCCTGGCAATACCCCTATGTCATCCTCTCCTCCTAAACTACCTGGAACTACAGAATGTGAATGTGGATGGTTTCAGGTTCTAGTGTGAAGTCAGCCCATGCTCATCCAGGCATGACAATAATAAATCTGAAGGCTGACTGAGAGATCAGACTGAATTATCCTTTGAGATCTATGGAAGAAAAGAATTATAGAAAATTGTTACTATCTATGGTAACTTCTAACAGTACCGAACAAACAGTATGCATCTGGCTTCCAGAGGGAACAGAATGATGCTTGGCTGTAATCAGGTTTTTCTCCCTTTCTCACAAGAAAAAAGAAATGGCAGGTTTTGTTCATTCATTATTTGGTATCACAGAGTACCTGTAGAAGGACTCTGAGTCCTCCTTGTAACTCTCTGGCTCATTGTGTATATCCAGAAACCTGAATATTCAGGAACTAACTGAAGCAATTTCAGCCGCAAAGGCTTTCAATACTCAAGAAAACTTTTATGATTTCAGTCATTTAGTCATTAAACATTTTCATTACCTTCAAGTTCAGCTGAGGCCAGGATAACAGTCTGGAGCTCAAGCCAGGAAAATGAAAAAAAAAAAACCTCCCAAAAACAACAAAAAAACCCCAAACAAAAACACAAAAACAAAAACAAAAAAACCCCAGAAAACCTAAAAAAAAAATGTATCAAAGCGATGCATCAGAAAGAATTCAGCCTGTGTGTATATGCTATCATTGAAGGTACTTCCCTACCTGTCCTGGAATGAAAATTTACAGCTGCAGGCTCCTTTTGGACCTTTGTCTGCTCAATAAATGTGAAATAACCACAATGTTCTGACAGAGTAACTGCATATTTTAAATTTGGATGTTGATCTTAACATAGCTGCCCATGCTATTGCCACCTTTCCTGCTTTTGTGTTCTACACTCATTTCCTCATGGGGATGGCACAACACTGTGCCATCACAACATTGCAGCTGTCAGAGAATATATTCTTCTGGTAACTGCTGTGTTTTGCACAGAACACAAATTGCACCTGTATTGCAAACTTTGCCTGACTCTCAATCATTTTTCTGGCTGATTTTCTGACTTACACAGTTTGGACCAAGATTGCTACAGATACATAATATCATTTTTTCTCCCATCTTCTCTTTAGTAACAAGATGATTATCAAAGTATTTCTGGATTAAAAAAAAAAGGTTTTTTTTTAATGGGAATTACTACTAAAATTAGACAAACAGGATTTTATACTCAAAAATGAATCAAAAATAAAACAGAAATTAGTCATCACATTTGCATACGGTGTAATCAGCAATTAACTCCTTATAAAGACATTGTTTAGAGGTATTTAAATCCTGGGATCCCAGGCTATGTAAAAATATATCATAACTGCAAAGCAAATAGCACAGCTTGTCTTTCTGGCATGTGCTCTACTTGAGTAGAATACTGATTGCACTTGCTGTCTTTTCAGCACAGACATGAATTATCTGTTCCATTCATTTCAAAAACATTTTTAAATGGATACTGAAATAGATTTTACCAGTAGGACAGACCTATCTCATTAAAGCCACTGTAGCCCAGCTCTTGCCTGCTTAGTCCCAGATCTTCAAGGTCCATGCATTTAAATCCAGGCGGGCACTGGTAACCTTCTTCTAGCTCTCTGGAACAGTGGGTGTCTGGGATAGCTAAATTATTCCAGGTTACATTTCTGTGAAAAATACAAAATTAACTTGTTACATAAACTCAGTTGATAGCAAAACTAAATATTTGAAAGTGAGATGACTAAAGTGAAAAGTTCATCAGCTTTTATTTTTACTATCTAATGTTATTTGGTATACACTATTTTCATTAATTAAGGACTTACTGTAAAGGGCAAGCTAACACACTCATAAAACTTCACCCTTACGTAATTACAGTACAAATACTACCATCAGAAATTTCATACTAATGCCTAGAGACCCCATAAAAATGAAGACTCTCCAAGAAATGGAAGAGTTAACATTCAGCTGCTCCAACTGGTCTTTAATGCAATTTGAAGACAATGTTTCAGGCTCCTTTGCAGATCCTGAGAGTGTGTTCAACTGCAGTCAATCCCACGACTTACAAAGGCATTACCTGTGCTTGCTTTGACACTCCTTAAAAGGATCCTTGTGGATGACTTGTCAGTCACCAGAGTGCTTGTAACCAGCTTTTTGTAACTTGGTCAGAACAGGTCTCCACCACACATGAAGGGTCACAGGAATAAAGTCAAACCACTACATTTGCAGTGCAGTTAGTATCTAGGCACTGGTGTAACTGAAACAGATCTGACTTCCTTTTAGGTCAGTCCAATGATTTGGTAGAAGAGGTTAAAAAATTTGAACTGGTTTGAATAAGTTCAGGCTGATTTAGGTAAGTGACAGTAGCATTTTAAAATGCAAAGATCATGAGACAAGGGCCAATGCCGCAACACAATGTCACAGCATTGGCCATTTTGTACTGCTGTCAGAGGCTGAGCATCACTGGTTTTCCCAGTTCCTCTGGCAGATGTGGTTGAGCTGCTGGAGGCTTTGTCACACTGGACCATGGTGGGAATTTAGGTAGGCCCAGAGCTAAAGGCCACAGAAGCTAAAAGGAGAGAGAGGACAAATTTGTTTCTCTCTATTCTATTAAATACATGCCTGTGGCATGGACACATAAATACGGGTTATCTAAGTACGGCCAAACTTTGGAAAGGGGAAGCTCAGGCAATTGATTCCCCCTAATCACTTACAGTGCCCAGTTAATAATCACAATACACAGTCCTTTGCCACAGACTGACCACCCCATTTTTCCAGAAGTAGTTTAGTTAAGAGGTAACCTTAGCAAACCACCCCCCAATGAGCAGGTCCCTGCCAGGGTCTGCAAAGCAACACAGCACAGAAGTGGGGATTCATTACTTGTGCTATGGGGCTGCTGGGAAAACCAAAGAGAAAAAAGGTCCAAATAATGCTCCAACTCTGCTGAAGGAACACACAGCTAAGCAACAACTGATTTTCTCCCTGCTTGTATTCTCTGATTCAGCATATGAAAATCCTGATTTTTGGTTCAATCCTAGGGCAATTTCAAATCAGATGTGAAAAACTAATCATGGTGAGTTCTGGTCTGAGAAAAAAAAAAGAAAACAAAAAACCCAAAAAAACCCAAAAAACCCAAAAAAACCCAGTAAACGGTATTCATGTTCAGGTTGATTTTGACTTCCTGGTTATAGCGCAGACTTTTGATAAAAAAACCCCAAAATGAATTGCTGAAAGTTATGAAAAAAATGTTGTAGTATTCACTCTGTTATCCCGAGGAATCAACCAGTGTCTTAAAATACATAATTTTAAATTATCTTGCTTGTCCACAGAAAAGGTGAAAATTTTCAGCCTGCCCTTTAATATAATTAGTATCTTATTGTTCTTCTGAAAGTCCTTTTCCTTTAATGACTCACAGATGCATTTTGACAACTAAACTGGGTGAACAGAAGCTTTTATTACTTTAATTACTTTTAATAACTTTTTTTTATTGCTTTTATGCACTGCATGGAATAGCATTACATTATTTGAAATCTGTCAGTGTGAAACCAAAACATCCTACAAAATTTTTCCTAGGCAATTATAAATGCAGATAAATAACAATTGTGGCATCTATCCTGTAGTCATTTCTTTATGATACCAGAGAGACATATATATCTGGATGCATACAGACATGTACAGTTCCAGATGGAGTTTTAAAGAACACCCTAAAATTTAGCAATATGTATAACTAAAAAGACAGATACACAAGCATATATGTATTTGTTCCACCTTTGTAAAACATGCTCAGTGCATGTCACTTATGTATTTCAAAATTAATCTGTTCACCCTAATTCCTTTAAACTAGAAGATGTTAATTCATACCCAGTTGCATGCTTTATGTTAAATTTATGATACTGCCATCCAAAAGCCATTATTATATATAGGATTAACATAAAACAATATTTTACATATATTTTTAGAAATCAAAATTAATTCATTGGCTCAGACAGATTCAGAACCCCAGTTACTGGCAGCTAATGAATTACACATTATAGCTCGCATTAGAAAATCCCTCAAATCCCAAGAGGCCAGCAGTTTGCGGGCATATTATTAAAAGCATTGCTGGCTCTAAATCACTGCAATGCAAAGCATTCATTTAAATGCTTCATTTAAACTTAGATTTATTTTTTTTTTTTTTTAATTTAACCTCCTTTTGAAGGAAAATAAAAAGCTGTCTCCATGCATGGAGTATGATTCAGGCTAAAAATGAAGAATCTCTGCTTATAGTACCTGTACAGATACAGGCCTGTTTGGATCACTGTCACTTGGCAAGTTTTGTTCCACCTCAAGACAGTAAATAAACATAGACTAGTACACACAGACTAGAGAATATTAGATACCTAGAAGTGACTAGAATATCACCAGATGTTTTCAATATAAGATGATTTAAATTTTATTCCTTCATAGGTCATACTCAATATCAATTAAGTACTGAGATACTGATTCAGCACATAACTAGTTTTAAGCATCTAAAAAGTTCAATTAGGCAATGTGCTTAAATGTCTTTCTGAACAGGGTGCCTGGATAAATTTATGAACAAGAAATAATTCATCCCAATAGACCAGTAATATTTCTATGCAGAGTATTCAGTCTGTGGAGTGCAGCATCAACCCAACAGGCAAGCTGAGAAATTAGTTCTCCACAGGAATGCCAAGGATGCAGAAGGAGATAATTGACTCTACTTCACTTGATAGGCATTCTTCAATAACAAGATTGTTGCTAAAGGCGTAGGACTGTTACTCTGACATGCTTTTAAGTGCCTGAAGAATGTTATGATTACATACATATGTACAACACAGGAAGGACCTGAATTGATGTCTCTTGGGAGTACAGTGCCTGTTTTCCATGGCATCTGACACAAAACTGGTCTTTCAACCACCATGTGCTCATGTGAGAACAATCCCTCTTTAAGCACCTTCGATTTATTAGGGCAGTTCTTCAAAGAGTTTTCACACCCTAAGAGATAAATTACCGTGATAGCTTCTAGCTTCTTGTTTTCTGCTAGCCTGACTTTCTCTTCTGAAAATAGAGATGGACAAAAAAAAAGGGGGATATTTTTTATTCTGGTATTTCATTTATTTTCTAAGATACCACCAAAAAGCCATTCTAACTTAGAAAGGTCCTTGTGTAGTTTTCAGATCTAGAAAATCTAAAAAAAAAAAAACCAAAAAACAACAAAAAAAAAAAAAACCCAAACCAAAACCTAAGAAGTATAATGTTGATAAGGTAATAAAAAATCATTTCAAATGCTTGATTAGGAAAAGAAGTTAATAAGTAAAAATTACTTAACTGGAGCTGAAGAATTTTGTGTATTTGTTAAAAGGAACCCTATGTCTGTCCCTGTACAAAACCAGGCACTTCCCAGCTTCTGACTGGAGAATTACTGCATGCTAAAAATACCATAGCAGACATAAAAAATGGCTTGTAGATCATGAAGCGAAGAAGTAGCAACCATGCAGCTTCCAAAGAGGGAGAAATACATTAACTGGGGCTCAGAGGAATTTGCAGCGTGTTCTGTGCTATCCATTTTCATCAGTGACCTGGGGGACCCTATGAACCCAGCTTCATCAAAACCACACCAAGCATATGATGAAGGATAACAAAAACCTTTGAGAACAGAGAAAGATTATGCAGTTCTGAAGACTTTAAAGGTTACTCTCAATAACTATGATTTAATGTCAAGCAACAAATTCAGAAAGTGATAGAACCTAAACACAAAATGGACACTGATGTATAGAAAGTATTAATACAGAAAAAAGCTTAGATCAGATGACTGATAAAAGATTTTTCTTTTAGATATCAAGAATTATATTTTTTTCTTATGCTAGACGTCTAACTCTGAAAGTGCAATTCTGAAAAAAGAAAAAAATCCATTCCTATATGTTTCAGAAGAGATGCTTCTGCTTTGCCATATTGCCAGAACAAGGGAAAAGCACCAAGCTAGTGAGACTCTAGCAGTAAACTTTAAATAAATCCAGACAACACAGTACACAGAAGTAGTTCCTGAGGCTCAAATTAAATGGATGATGGGCTAGGATCTCTCAATAAATGCTTTCTGATGAAGTAATACTGTCTTTCTACATTGACTTTAGACAAGTTATCTGCTGAATATTAATACACTGCTCTCGTACATATATAGGTCAATGATATGTAATTAATTTGTCTTTATTCTGAAAATCAGGGTGATTTATTACCATGAAACAACTTCCCTACACAGTATGACACGCCTATTATAGTCCATGAACTTATTTTTTAAATCTTTAAATTTTATCTTATATCACTATTTTATGAAATGAATATAATTTACAAACTGAGTTCATAGTGAGAAAGTAAAGTCAGTTGTGTCATGAGCATTCTGATTTTAACAATGTTTCGGAGCCTTTTTTTGTAACAACAAAATATAAAAGCAAAATATATATATATAGATGTATATTAATGGTAGTGGAACCTCTCAGGTCAAAAATCAGATATAGCAAATGCAAATTGCTAGGATAGCAAATAAAAACTTGTTTTTTACAAATTTATTTCTAATTTATGGAATCATACTAAAGAACAGATTTTTCACTCCAAATTCACAATAAGTTGTTTAGTCACCAGCACTTCACATTATCGATTTAAAGCTCCCTCTCAC